CCTTAGAAGTTCATAGAGTCAAACAGCACATTGATTGGTTGGTATCCAGTCGAGAAGCACACTTTCTGCTCTTCAACTCAATGCTATGTCCACACCAACGAGTTTATGAGAGTCAGCCATTTTTTCTCCGGATACTCTTAAGGTGAATTTTAAAGATTCACTACTGCAGCCGGTTAAGATCAATTTAATAACCACATTCTGGTCCTGTATACGTGTCTCAGATACACACCATACTTCCATGACCCGAGATTCGAGGGTCCTAGCTAGCGACACCTGCTGTTCGATTGGACATAGAGTTCGGAATTCGAAAGCTCCTACTTGAAATCGATGGTGGGGTCTCAGGAGACTAGGAATCAGGTTTCGATGGCTTTGATCGTTGACAATGCTCTCACAGTGAGAAGTTGAGTAAGGCGTAAGCGGCCTAATATTAGTATCATGGAGTGAAGGCAAACGAGGAGACAGGGTTGAAGGGGGATTGTGTCTTGTGTAATACTGGAAGGATGTGAGAGGTTGACGGTTCCCTGCTGCCCACACCTTGAAGGCTATTTCTTCTTAAGGTAGTTGAAAGAAAAAAGGGTTTGTAACTGCAGAGCCCGTGGGATATTTGCTTGAAGTTTGTCACACCCGGCCTTTCGTGGGTTGTTGTCTTAAGGTTTGGTTCTTCTAACACTGGATCGAAAGAACCCACACCGCCGACACCGGAAAACCGTGGGGCAGGATAGGATGGAGTATGTTATTTTTAGGGCTGACCTTTACCAAGCCCACTTCCCCTTCTGTTGAGAAGCCAGCATCAGGATGGTACTTCTGACCATCCAAGGGGAGCACCTTCCTGATGTCACGCCCCATCCGACTAGCGGCAGTACGACTTTGTCCTCAGACCCCAATCATAGTGTAGTAATTTACACTACAATGGTAACTGCTTTTCATCTTACCACTATGCAACAGATCTTTCTGGGATGGTAGGACCCCGAGGGAATAAGTGTTTCAGTAGTATAGCTCGTTATATCATTGTGATATGCAACCCCGACCACCACAAGGCAGCAGCTATCGGTCGGGCAAGGGGAAACATCTGTTTCCCTTTTTTTTTTACCCCGAAGTGCGGCATATTCAGATGGAAATCTGAAGGTGGTCTGACAAAAAATAGTAATCCATCAAGTCGCTAACTTTTCATTGGTTCAGTATATTCTTAGGTTGCAGCTTTGCTGGTTATTTCGTAAGTATCATATATACCGATGGTTAGATAATGACTTCGGTTGAAAATTGGTTTTGGAAGTTGTTACACTATTTCTATTTTAATCAGCTAAAAATCCCATCGTACTATTTTACACTCATTCTCCTTGGTCACTTTCTCTTTGTAAAATCACATGTGCTGTTGAGATGGCCAGTACGATCCAGTCTAAGAATTTTAATTTTTATGTTGATTCTTTCCGTCACTCCATCATCACAGACAAATAATTGTTTTGTTTCTTCATATCAGGGCGCGAGGCTATGCCCTGGAACTCTATTCTTGAGGGATGTCTCCGAGAAATTTGTTAATATCTTGAAGGCCTTATACGAAAATATTTTGGTTTGAGTAGAAGCATACGGCTACCTTTCTTTGTGGTTCCAAACCAAGAGTAAGATTATTGAAGATTTCCCGGTCAGGCCATTCCTCCTTAACTTTTCCCGAGTTGTGCGCTCAGTGGTTTAGACAGATAACTATCAACCATTTGGTCACGGGTTCGAGCCACATTCCATCTACCGAGGTTTGAGCAGCCAGGGTATTATCATTAGCCCTCACACAATAGGTGTGGCTCATTGCCTACTGCACCGATATGCACAAGGTGGGTAAGTGCATTTCATTTCATTTCACTGCGGTTTCTTTAGCTTTGCCATTTATGTCCTTCTTGAGTTATTATTGGCGTTTGTTGGTGTAGTCCTGTTACTAGAAGAAACAATTTGAGCATGCAAGCGACATCGTTTTGTTATGAGACAGACAATAAGCGATGCCTGTTGTGTGAAGGCTAATGATGCCTACCACCTGGCTGCCCAAATCTCGGTAGGTGGAGCGAAGTTCGAACCCACAATCGATTGGTTAAAAGTCGACTACCTAAATCAATAAACCACAGCTCTACACTGTGTGATATAGTGTTATTCAAATCGCGGTTGCTCATTTGACAATCACTTTCCTTAAGTATAGTGTTTGCTTTGCATAGTCGAAATCCAATATGCTTTTATAAGGTGAATATGGATCTGTAGTTACGTTCCTTTTGTGGTGGACCGTTTGAAGTGGACGAAAAGTTTTGTGATGGTTGGTGAAAGTGTTGGTGATTCGATTTCTAACCCTATGTCAAAAGCCAGAGTGGCATACGCTGATCTACATCACATTTGTCTCCGTCGTGACGTTAACCTAGTTGGGTGTACGGTGGGTTAATACGAGCACGTTTATTTTAGAACTTTTAAACATACTGTCTTCGGACTGAGAATGTTCGACTACTTTGCCTGTCTGGGGCCCGTTATCCTAGTAGGATTGTTCACATCCAATGGGAACCATAGGCAGCTCGTTGTGAAGTGGAGTGGAGAGTGTTTGGATGTGTTTGAGATTATCATTCTTCGAATCAGGTCATCTCATATCAACGGTTTCGGTGACCTAGACAGGTATTATGAATATTATCCTAGTGGCTCCTACGCCGCCCATTGTTTGCCGACCCTCAGACTAGTTAAAGGATAAAACCAACTTTAAACCTAGCATGAAAGTGCATCGGCCTAGGTCGCCACACTTCTCTACAGCACACAGAAAACAAGCGTATAGAAAGTGATATAAAAGTAGGAGAAAGTACATGGGAAGAGAAAGAATTTGAAAAAAAGAAGTTTAGTGAAAATGTTCAAACATTAGTAGACGTTGAAAAACGGATACATGTGTGCTATTGTGACCAATTTTAGCTGTCATCGAAGATCTTCAACTACTAATTACTCTTATCTCTACAACCCGAGCCGGGAAGTCTGCACCTCTCTACACAGCTCAAACCAACAATCAGAGATTTCATGGATCGGTGTCACGTCGTGGTCGTGTCACTCTGAAACTCCCACCAATCCAGTTCAACTTCGTCTAACATTGCACGTAGGGGTGGGGTGGGGGTGGCTAATCATGAGCCATAATAAATAAGTAATTGCCAGGTATTACTTAGGGTTGATACCTGCTCCGTCTCATTCTCTTTCATCACCCACCACTGCTCACAATCATTGCGAAGATTTTTGGTCAGTTTACGTTTGCACTGCTTTCTCTCCTCATTGTGATCGGAGCTAGCTGAAATGGGTCTTCTCTCATCCATCAGATTTGGAACGTTGAAAGCTCCAATGTGAAATAGATAGGGGAGTTTCGTGAGACTAGGGATGGTGCCCTAATGCCTTGTGTCGTTAATGGTCGCTGAATAAGAGGTTGAGAAAGTTGTAAGAGGCTTAATACTGGTGTTGGATAGCGAATGCCGGAGAAGAGACAAAGGTGAGGAAAGTAGGTTATGGTTGATTAGGTTCTGTACTCTGTTGGAAGTGTGTGGTAGTTGGTACTTCCAGACCACCTACATCGTGAAAGTTGTTTCTCTCAGGTACCCGAAAGAGGAAAAGTACTAGTTTAACGTGATAGCAGAGCCCAAGAGACGTCTGCTTGAGGTTTATCACATACGACCTTTTTAGGTTTTTTAATTAGTTTTTGATTGTGTTAACTGAACAAGAAAAGTTCATGCCGCAGGGGAGGAAGAATTGCGCAATTTTTAGGGCCGATGTTTTCTAACCCTCTCCGATACGGATAGTAACATCACCGTTGTATTACTGGTCATACGTGAACGACACCCTACTACTGTCAAACCCCTTTCAGCTAGCTGTACTATTTCTCCCTTAGACCCCCCATCATAACGTTAGTATTTACATTATGAAGGTAAATGGCTTACCACTATCCAACATATCTTTTTGGCGTGGTAGGACCCCAAGGAACAAGAGTTTCAGCTGGCGTAATTCCTTGGGTGATTGTGATATGCAATCCCAACCACCACGTTAAAGTAAGCAGCTGTTGGTTGTAGCGGTTGAAAGAGGATAGGTGAATCGGTGTATGACATGGCGCCGTAGAACGATGTGTAATCGTGTTGGATATGTCTGGTGGTCTCACGACTCCCATAATGTGGCCTGGTACCTTGAGACGGTAACAGATATAGGTCAGAGTCAAAACCAGTGGCAATCATTGTAGACCTCTATTGTTAAGGTGACTCTCAGCACTGAGGATCTCTAGTTGTGAGGGGTGGCTACTAACAATTTGACCCCAGTCTGTTAAAAACGACGTAAGGTCTTGTAGGCTGATTCGTCCAGTTTACACCTGATCAGAGTAATTCAGGTGCTTTATATATCTTGCGTCGACGAAGGGTAAACGGCTCCCGATGGATTTTAGGATATCAGGTCTCAAAAGACCACATGAAACCCAGTCCTTTGGTTAAGCTCATTCTCAACCTCATGTTCTTGAATCAGCATTTACATTTTTTCAGAAATCAAGATTCACAGAAAGTAATGGATGACTAACTGTAAAGTGTACCGCTGATTTGATATTACAAACCAATTCTGTTGGCTATAGATTCAAAAAATACAAGCAGCAGGTATTACTGGCTGTTGCACAATAGTTGTGGCTCATCTCTCACAATAATAATTTGCACGTGTTCACTAAGCGCATTTCCATTCGAGTACTGATCACTAGACTGCCAACAACACAGTTGGAAGCTTAAACTCCTTTATTCAGTAACAAAAATTGACTGTCCAAATAGTGTATACATTATTTATCAGTTTTTGATTTCACTTTTTACATTGCCATTCACCATCGTTCAAAGCTATTTTATGGATCTTTTCGGTGGAGTACCTCATTCAAGCGAAACAATGTTAGGGCTTTGCTTTTTCTTCATTTCGGTCAACCGAGTTTTGTAATTTATTTTCATAGACCTTATTTTGCCGATGTTATAATTCCTTTTCACTTACCATTTCAGGGTGCCTTTGCCATGCCACTTCATGTAGATCCACGAAAACATGAATTATTAGAAGCTAGAATCCAAGGGACAAACCATATACAGCAGAATAATAATGCACCTGTATCCACAAAGGCGGATTCATATGCATCTGGTTACATGTTTCCCATAACAGAAGAACAATCTGGCACTCCGGAACATTCTGCTTTGCGGGGCTCTTCTAGTCCATTTAGTTCAGCTGGTGAACATGATTTGAGCACTAGTAGCAGTGATCCCAAACCAATAACCACCACAGTCCCTTTGATACCAATAGAACCCAACGAGCGGACTCCGGGTTCTTCAGATGTAGGCAAGAAAATGCAAAATCCAGCCAACCAGAACACTAACCGTTTGGATTTTGCTAATTCTAGTCTTAATATCCAAAGTCCTCATATACTTGCACAGACGCAAGCGGATTACATAACTTCACCTACAACACCGAAAAGAAACAGAATACCTTCAAGTTCTGTAGGGGAGTCGGATAATACAACAAATGATGGAGTTCTCATGTCACCTGTGAAATCAGATGATAAATTTTTAGAATCGTTAGCTAATAACATGCAAGCACATCCCTTAGGTTCACCTCAGTGTTTACAGTATGTTTCAAGGTCAAACTCTACTCACACACCGACTGCTATTGTTGGCAACAATCCTATCAAGTCATCGCATACATATGTAAATGATAAAAATAATGCATACTCCACATTCCAGCTCTCCATCCAAGCAACTCCCTCAGTTATTGAAGCAAATAATCCAGCTTATCATTTATCTCCGTCTGTAGGACCGCTTACGTCAACCCATGGTGGGCAGGGGGATTCCTTACCATCTCGAAATGGTACAAAAAAGCGGCGGAAACCAGTCAATTCTGAGGAAGTTCATACTCCAAAGCCTAAGAAAATGGTTTGTCAAGAACGTGGTTCAAAACGTATTGATGAAATCTTTAAAGTGAGTTCCTAAGCGTCACGTATTGTGTTATCATCTATAACAATAAGCCAAGACAATTAGGATATTCATAGCAAAGTAAAGGAAAACCAAATTGCAGGTGAATTAATATTCGCGCTTTCAGCAACACATTATTAGGTGTTCAGTAGATTTATTGAATGCTATCGTTCCAATTAGTTTCATTTAGTGTATAAAATTATCGAAAATGTTTATGCTGTCAATAGGGTTAATGTGACATCTTCTAATTTACTGCTGTCTATAACTTTTCGGTGTCTAAATGATAATTATTCTGCTGAAATCGGTTTTTCACAAGTATTTCCTTAGTATTTAAAAGTTTAATCATAACTCGTGTTCACTTGTCTTTTCTCATTTCAGTTCATGCCTGGTCCATTGTATTCATCGTGTGGTTCAACCAGTCCCATACGAAATCTTCGTCCACAAAGCCCTGTAAGTCTTTACCCTTGTATTTATAATGTTAGAATTTCTTCGCAAAATGTGTAACAATGAATCAAACTGGTTTTAGGCTAATCCCTATATTTGAAGTTTGAACCACCTGACACCAAGAAGAGAAGTTTCAACTACATAGATTATAGGAATCAGGATGGTACTTCAGTAGTCCATATGTAGTGTTTGGATATATAATACATGTACTTATATTTCGTATCTAATGTTTTTTGAGTCTTCAAAATGTGTAGAAATCAAATAATAAATAAATAAACCATACCAAAACATCGTTTCATTTAAACTTCTGTTTCCTGTTAAATGTAATGAGTACATTATGTATTGCAAACGACAAGTACCTCTTTATCGGATAGTAGCTGAATGCCAAGAGTAGGAATTTGACATTATTACCACAAAACATGGGGAAAAACTTTCATCCTAATAATTTTAATTGCCAGAAAGACTTCATTGTATATTAGTTACTTTTAATCACCCTGTGCGCATCCTTATAGTAGGCAACGAGCCAAACATATTGTATGAAGGTTAGTGATACTACCTGGCTGCCTAAACCTCGGTAGGTGGAGTGAGGTTCAAACCGATGAGCTATTGAGGTACAACTCCGCACCCCTAATCATCATCGACCCATTGGTCGCTCAAATTATGTACATTGTTTTGTTCTTTTAAACAATTATACGATAGACATAAGTATGTTGGATTTTATAGTGGCAATAGCATTCAGTAGGTTTTATGATATTCTTCGATAACCAGTCGAATAACCGTACAAGAATGGTTTTTTTTCACGTATATTTTTGAGTGAAATTATGTTTTAATTGAAATAGTCATGTGTAAATTTACAATTCACAATTTGCCCATATGATAGATTATTCAACTGGTTCACAGGCTGTAATAATACGTGTAATTTCCCGTTGATATACAGAACCGAATTGCTTGATCTCTGTTGGTAGATGGGCTCCTGTGTGGATATCTCGATACTACGGGATATTGATGATGTTATATTGATCTTGGTGACTAGCAGAGGAATCCAGGACGCGCATCTCATCCTATTCGGGACTCACTCGTCTGGTAGATATACCTGCATCCCAATGAGTGATGTTGTTCCCATCTGGGCTCGAACCCAAATAGGACGAAATGGGCGTCCTGGATTCCTCTGCTGGTCCCCAGGATTAATATAATCGCTCACAGGCTGTCGATCTTAAAATTTATCGATAAAAGTGCATAAATGTATAAATGTTTACTTGCCTGATTTCAGTTCAGTCAAGTTAATGTAGCGCATCCCTCTAACCGATTCCGTTGCTTATGTAAATCAATCGTTTTGTCAGGATTGAAGTTCTTCGTCGACAATCATCATCATCATCAGGTGATGACTATATTTTGAGTAGAATATGCAAGTATAACTTTCTATTAGAAAAACCTAATGACTAGAGATATTGACAGTTGATCATTATTGGCCATAGAGAAGTAGTAGTCACACATAAGTTGATCTAATATGAGCATATTTCATTGGTCATTTCGTTCTGTTTCACACGTAACCTAGTTGTATTATAATTATTAAAATGTAGCCTAGTTGTGTGTAATGAATACCAGTCTCACATAAACTTAAGTCTTTTTGAAGCGGAGTTGAACGGAGAGCATATTAACTAGAAGTCAATAGATTGAAATACAGATATAACACATAAACTCATATGTTATTTTAATCATTAATTACATTTGTTGTTCACCTAGTCCCCCACAGGTGGTCATTCCCTTGATAATCAAATGGTTGGGACAACCCATAACTATATCCCAGCGTTGAATGAAGCTGTGACTACGAGCTGTGGAAGTAATGATCAAATGGTTATCACCTCAGCAACAGGAGTTCAATTTGCAAATAATCCTGCTAGTTTCCAACTGTCACCTGTCCGTGCCAGTAGTACAGCAAGCTTAAGTGATAGCTCTGGAGACAATCCTGTATCCATGGTTGGATTAAGTATGGCTGTAAATGTAAATGCAAATGCAGTATCCTGTACTACACCTTGTAATGCTACTCCATTACCCACCTATTCTAATTTACAAGCACCCGTTAATCTTAATTCATCCTGCCCTCAAATTGGACAACCCAATGTTGGTTATTTAGGCTCTGGATCCTGTTCCAATAATCCTACATCTAATGTTTTGAGTGGTTTGACAGCCACTATATCTGGTCCTAGTGTAAACAGCTTCAGATCTCATGTTGGGGTGCAAACAGATGAAACTGTCACCTCGACATTATCTCCTGAAGATTCCCAGTGCATAAATTCCACATCTTTGCATAGCAATCTTCCTTTATTTACAACTGGTGGACCAAGTTCATCTGTTCCACTAACCATTACTGTTGAAAGTCTTCAACGACGAATAGCCGATTTAGAACATGAAACTGTTATTCAGCAAGAAAGTATTACAAAATTACAAGAAAATGCTGTTCGTTCTCGAGAGATGATACGTGAATTACTAATTGAAAAAGTAAGTTTTATATTGATTCTATTGTGAAGTCTTCATTTTTTTAATGCATAAAAATTATCCACAAGATTCATGACAAATATCATACCTAGTTAGGTTGTTGGTTGGTTCGTTGCCAGCCAGCCAGCCACAGTTCCTCCTTGCTTATTCTTATTATTCTATTCTGGCCATCTCATCTCCATCTTCAGTATCGAATCAGCGTACGTGGCAGCTGTTCACCTGATGTACGTGTGCACTTTGTTTGAAATACTTTTCGTAATGCGTCAAGTCTCTCAACCATCACATAGAGAAGCACTGACTGACTTGACTTACATTAGTGTTGAAAATCCGGATTTTGTTCACACTTTATACTGAGTGCAGTGCAGTGCAGTACAGTACAGTAGATCTCCACACTGATTATTTCAGATTATTGAAAACCTATCTGTCTTGCTGTCTTTCCGATCCTGGCTGACTTTGACATCCTTATCTGTGGCGCATTCACCGCCTGTATTTGAAACGGTGCTGTCTAGGTAGATGAAAGAGACAACTTCCTTTAGGTTTCTCCCACTGATGGTGATTGGTGCTTCTCGTTGTTGTTGTTGGCTGTTTATCTTCATCACCTCTGTCTTCTCTACTTTCACCTGAAGAAAGTCCCGTCTTCTCTGCCCTACCTCTTCTGCCAACTTGTTAGTTTTCACCTGTAGATCTTCGATTTTGTCTGACAAGACGTTAGATGTAAATCACTGTCGGCGAAATCCAAGTGTTCTAGGATCTTTTCATCGGTCAAACAGCGTATGTCCGTCTTCTCACTCCTCACAGTTGTTTATTGCATGATCCAGTCGACCACAATCAGGAAGATCATCGATGATAGTAGGCAGCCGTATCGTACTTCTGTCTTCACTTCAAAGGCATAACTGAGCTTTCCATCGTGGATCACTTCACATGTAGCATCATGTATCATATAACTGTTGAATGGGGTTGATAAAGGTTTGTGGCACTAAAATTATAGTACTGAAGCAACTGGCAAATTACTTCTTGGTCGACGGTCGAGGCCTTTTCAAAATCGATGAAGTTGAGGTAGAGAGTTGACTGCCATTCTATGCTCTGTTCTATGATGATGCGTAGCGTAGGGTCGCAATTTCATCCTCACATGATTTGTTTTTCTTGAAGCCAGTCAGCCTGTTCCTATCGTAATTTTTAATGCAGAGTATTTTTTTAGTCTCTCCATGATGATGGGAAATTATTCCGCGCCACTTCTTGCAAAGTCTTACGTTGCCCTTCTTTGAAAGTTTGACAAGACAGCCTTTCTTTCAATCGACAGGCAGGTACCTTTCCTTCCTTCCACGCTCCTATAGTAGTGGTATGAGCATGTCCATTGATGTTTGTGCGTTCGCTTTCAGCGCTTCTGGAGGAATTCCATCTGGTTCTGCTGCTTTCCGGGCTTTCAGTAACTTTATGATGTTCGGTACTTCTGCTTTTGTCGGGGGGTCTATGTTCACTGATCCTTCTGTTACTGGGCTGCTGGTGGTATTTCTAGTTTTTCTTCACTTATGTATTCTTTTTCCGCATTTCAAATTGATGACTATGTATATTTATATATATACATTTACAGAGCTTACTGGAAAGGAAGACTACACGCCAGAAAGTGATGGAAAATCGTTTACGTTTAGGTCAGTTTATAACTCAAAGACAAGGTGCACATTTTGAAGAAAAATGGATTGAAGGTTCAAGGTTTAAAGAATTAGATCAGTAAGTTCATAGACTTTGAATGCATTAAATTCAACTGTCAATTGTTTGATAGGTCAACAAAAAAAAATATTTTAATTTCACATAGCTGTATTACCATGTCCGCAATATGAGGCAAACAAAAAGCATTCAGGTTTACACACTAGGTGTAGTGAACCACTTTTATTGTATGCGCGTCGATGAATACCACTTATTCGATGTCAGTTTCAAAAATGTTGACCAAAGCTAATATAGGCTGAACACAGAAACACTCAATTTTGCAAAGGAGACGTCTATTCAACTTACTACAATGATAGATTGAGAGGAAAATATAAACGATAGGAAAGATATGAATTAAATACTCGTCTGTCATTAGAGGCGTTTGGAATGTTATTACTCTATTGAAGACAGTAAAATTAGTGTCGTTTATGACAGTCTTAACCCATATATATATATATATATATATATATATATATATATATATATATATATATCTTGAACTGGATTTATCGGTGGGTCCCCAAACGTTTTGTTGGTGGGATATTACAGGTGTTTAATCAATCAGTCAGCCAATATCAACAGCGTAGTTAATGAGTAAGTTTGACGTGTGTGTATACGGTTCAGCTGAATTTGCCAGGATAATGTTTTGGTGTAACTTACCTGAAACATCCGTGTTATAACTTTTCACAACTTTAAGAAAGATATTAATTTATAAGCATTGTGTATTCGATATTCACTGTCAAAGTGCAATTATTTAAACTGTAATAAATGTAAAAGCCTAATCTTCTAGTCTTTTCTTTCTTTATCTTACTGTTACTGAAAAATATCTCTCATTATGAGCTATTGCTATGGCATGACTCCGTCGCCTTATGATTATCTTCAATGTGTGAGGCTAGTCGAACACTTAGAATTGAGGTGTTGGCAACTTCAGCTGATGAAAGATTGAAAATGTTACGTGAAGTGTGTTTGTACAACCTGGTCAAAACCCCGTGTTGTTATTAAGATGGATAAGCGTGAGTATGCTTTATGATCGATCAAGTCTTAATTTTTTTTACTAACCGACTGATAGCTACTACCTTGATGTGGTGGTCGCCCTTGTATATCACGATAACCCAACTAGCTATACTGCTGAAACGCTTGTTCCCTTGAGGTCCTATCATCTCAGAAAGATCTGTTGCATAGTGGCAAGACGAAAAGAAGTTACCCTTGCAGTTTAAATTACTACACTATGATTGGGTTTGAGGGCAAAGTCGTACTACCGCTAGCCGGATGGGGTGTGACAGCAGTAAAGTGTTTCTTTTGGATGACCAGCAGTACCACCCTGATGCTGCCTTCTCCACCTTGCCGTGGCCCACTGTCTTCCGGTGTCGACGATACGGGTTCTTTCGATCCAGTGTTAGAAGAACCAAACCTCAAAACAACAACCTACAAAAGGTTGTGTGACAGACCATAAGAAGATGTTCCACGGGCTGTGTGGTCACAAAGATGTTTTCTCTTTCAAGTACGTTGAGGTGACCTATCCTTTCACGGTGTGGACAGCCGGGAATTGTCAACCGCACTCACAAGTCTTTCAGCGCTCAAGTTCTCTCAGACCACTATCCACCTTTCTTTTCCTCACCTTCTAATCTTCCCTCACATCTCTCAGTTAACAATCCTACATCATCTTTAATTTCTTCTAGCTCTGCATCTTCCGACAACAAACTGAGTTTACAGAATAGCATCCTTGGTCTCCTTAAACCACGCTGCAAATTACACACTGGAGCCTTCAACGTCCACACCCTCTATTGAAATAGTCAACAAACTTCAGTGACCGAAACTCCAGCAATTTGGATCGTGGATGTGAGACACAAATACAGAATCCAAGTGCAGTTATTCACTTAACTTCAGCTGGCTGGCATGGTGAGACCGCAGAATTCATCCTTCGAGTTTCTGGAGATTCGATGGTGGGTGTGGGCATAGCATTAAGCACCGGAGCAGAAAGCTCATTACTAGACTGGATTCCAGTTAACAGTTGCCTATGCTCTGAGTCAGACAGAAAGGCACTTAAATGACACTTTGAGAATCTCGGCCGAACGAACGGATCACGATGATCACCTACTACAAATGTGTTTAGATAACAGTTTATTTCTAGCTAACACAAAATTCAGACATAAAGAGAGAAGTGTTTCGTGGTGTCACCACGTGAGTAACACAGAGTTCAGACGTAGATTTTTGGGTAGGAGAGGTAAGTTAGTTGATGTGGTTGTAAACCGTCGTAAACTGAGAGGGTTGGGACATGTGTTATGTATGCCTAGCCACCGTCTACCTTGTCGCACAATGTTGGTCGAAGTAGGTTCAGGCTAGAAATAGGCTTGTCGTGGGTAGACTAAAACAACATGAATGCAAGAAGTCGTTGACTGTTCGTTTGAGCCATAGGATGCAGATTAGCCAGTTGGTATCCACGGGACAATAAAAACCAGTGGTTGGAGACTAGGTGATATGGCTGAGAACCGATGTCTGGCGCAGCTGTATACACACATTATCCTCATCTTAACTATGCTATACCGAATTTCACCATTTTGTCATTCTTCTTTCCTCTGTTTTACTACTTTCTATTTCTACTTCCTCTGACCGATTTTGCCTTCCTTCTTCATCTTCCATTTTATCGCCTTATCACTTGGTGTGTAGATATCAGGTGTGGCAACTTGAGTTGTTACACAGTAATACCTGGTCCTTTGCTGGTCTTGATGATGATGATGATGATAATACTGTGTTTTCTCTTCTGCTTACTTTAAACTACCTGCATTACTATTCATATTTTCGATTCTGTTATCTCAGCTACACCATCTGCACAGTGTACTTACTAACCGGACGTTTATGCCTTTTAGTCTCTGTTACATGCTCCATTATAACTGCTGACTTGGGGTATGAGAGGATGAATTCAGATGTAGTAATAGTAGTAGTAGGTGTACAAGGTATATTGCGATAGGGAGTTTGCGTTTTGTATTGAAAAATCAAGGCCTTCATCCAATAACTCAAACTTTGAGGTAACTTATGCTGCATCTTACACGTTTTCCTTGTAAGGTTCAATCACTTTTCAGTAATAGAGTTGAATTATTTCTTACCATTATTCGATTCATGTATTACAATACTTCATATGTGTTCATTATGTAGCGCGTTTACCATTTAGTTCACTGTTTAAAAAAAACAGTTTACCCGTCCTAGTTTTATTCTTTCTTCTTTCACTACTTTTCTTCAGACGTCGTAAAAATATCGAACTTGTTCGTGAAGAGATTGAACGAAAAAAGAAACAATGGAATAAGCGTAAACCGAATGTTGGTGATGGCAAAAAAAGTACTAAATCAAAGTATGATGAGTAAGTTAAAGTTTATCCTCTCTTTGTATGTGTATATACTTGTAAAACTTTGTATGATTACATGCTTGCTGCCCTACTGTAATATGCTTATAAAGCTATGGTTCCCTTGATCTAGCCACTTGATTTCCGGTGGATCATAGACTCGAGCTCAGGTCCGCCTACTGAGGTGTAGACAAGCAGGTAGTATCAATAGCCTTTACACAATAGGTGTGTAGTTCATTTTACCTACTGTACGAGTGTGCACAAGTCTGCTTAGTTAATTTTCTCTCATTCGTTTTGTAATAGGGTTGGATTATCTATAGGCAAATAACCGAGATACTTGTATCAACACCTTTATCAAGGATATCATGAATGTTAAAAAATAGACTTCTATGGTTGGAAAATTTTTATTAGCTAGGCAATACCAAGGTGTGTCATGCCCCAGATAATGATACTGTGAAGAAATTTCATTCTTTTTAAAGTCAGCTAATTAACTGTTAAGTAATAATCAGTAATTTTTCAACATACTAATGTCTAGATTGTGATATTCGTTTCCAGTAATCACTATTAAAATTGATGAGGCTGTAGCTCATTGGTTTAGGGAGTTGACTTTCAACCAATAGATCACGGATTCGAACATCTCTCCGTCTACCAAGGTTTGGGTAGCAGCTGGGGAAATATTGCAAACATGGGAACACTGGACAACTGTTTCCTCCTAGTATGGGACTTCTCGGGTGTACACCTCTACGACCCCATCTCACCACGGATGGAACTAAAGACATTCAGGTTGCACGGTGAATGTGTTCACCATCCAACTAACCAACCGATCGACTGAATGCGTTCGCTGTGCAACCTTATGATCTTACGTCCGATCCATGGCGATTTGGGATCGTGAGTGCGTACTGTTGAAGAGTGCCATACTAAAACGAAACAGTTATTCAATGGTTCACTAATTAATATCAGTCCATGATGAATATCAGTCATAAACATGAAACTGCAATCTAAGATTACTTCAACCTTCTTATTATTATTGTTGGCTTCACCTTTAGGGTATCTGTGGATGAATTTTACGAACAATTAGAAATTTATGATCTACGCAAACAAATGCTTGTCAAAGAGGATAAGGAAATTCAAATGGAATTGGAACGTTTAGATCGTGAACGAAATTTGCATATTCGTGAAATTAAACGGATTTCTAATGAAGATGCATCTCGCTTTAAAGATCATCCATTATTAAATGAACGATATCTACTACTTAATCTACTTGGCAAGGGTGGATTTTCTGAAGTGCACAAAGTCAGTCGATTGTTAAGTTGATTTTCGTTTTGCTTTTATTCGCATACTTCACACAGTCGCTATAGAGCCTTAACATTTTTAACCTTACGGGATTTTACCTTTTTTTTTTGTTATGATGTCACAAACTGATATCGGACATAGAATTAGATACAAGTCGATAGTTATTTCCTTCTCACTTTTGTATGATCAGTTTTGGACTCCAGCTTACTAGAACATAAACAGGAAGGTTGTTTGTTCAGTTTTACCAAATAGTTTGAACTGTGTACTATGTACAGGTAAAAACCAACGACCCAACAATGAGAAGCACCAATCACCATCAGTGGGAGAAACCTAAAGGAAGTTGTCTCTTTCATCTACCTAGACAGCACCGTTTCAAATACAGGCGGTGAATGCGCCACAGATAAGGATGTCAAAGTCAGCCAGGATCGGAAAGACAGCAAGACAGATAGGTTTTCAATAATCTGAAATAATCAGTGTGGAGATCTACTGTACTGTACTGCACTGCACTGCACTCAGTATAAAGTGTGAACAAAATCCGGATTTTCAACACTAATGTAAGTCAAGTCAGTCAGTGCTTCTCTATGTGATGGTTGAGAGACTTGACACATTACGAAAAGTATTTCAAACAAAGTGCACACGTACATCAGATGAACAGCTGCCATGTACGCTGATTCGATACTGAAGATGGAGATGAGATGGCCAGAATAGAATAATAAGAATAAGCTAGGAGGAACTGTGGCATGCTGGCTGGTTGGCAAGGAACCAAGCAGGAACCCATCACCCAACAAATGTGCAGAAGAAAGTGTAGATGGATTGGATTGGGCATACACTGAGAAGACCATTCGGGGACATCACGTGCCAGGCCGGGTAGGGCCGTCGAGTGAAAGCCAAATAAGGAAACAACGAGTTGGGCGTCTGAGCCGAAGATGACATGAAGGAGATCGTGTAAGGAAGAAATGAAAGCTCCTGGGCAGTTGTGAAGCTATGTTGGAAAGACTGCAGAGAAGAGAGTGGAATGGCGAGGTGCTACTGAAGCCCTATGTTCCACTAGGAACTCAAGGGAAAAATAAAATAATGTACTACTCATAAGTAGTTCTTGGCTAAAATGGATGAATACCCACTTGAAATCAATAGAAAATCCCCACAAACCTCTGAACTGAATTAATCTTGCGGTCTTCGCTGACTAGTTTCGAGAGACGATTCCTGAAGTTCCAATGAGAACTCATGGCTGGCGGGGCGAACTTTATGCACAAATACTCAACGATTACATTGGGTCAATGGTCAGGCTATTTGGTGAACTGATAGAAGTTGGAAATATGGACCATTAGATTCCATGGAGCCAGTGGCTCAGTGGTAGTGTGCTGGCCATGGAACCTGAAGGTCGTGGGTTCGATCCTTGGTGGGGCGGGGTCTTCGATACGTACTGCTGAGGAGTCCCATACTAGGATAAAACAGCTGTTTAGTCCTCCTAAGTTTCCAGTGTTCCTCCAACTGATGTCAGCCCATGATAAACACCAGCTTAGAATGGAACAGCTGTCTAGCGCTTTGTACAGTACATTTTTTGGTGACTGTTTACCGAGAAGAATACGGAAAATATTTTCTGATTTGTTGTTTGTTATTGAAGAGAACATGCAACGTACTGCGGTTTTTTGTTGTTGAATGGAGTGTCGTAGTATTTCAAGAAGCCAAATAGTATAGATTACTGTAGGTGTATCAGGTTTTCGTCTAATTTACACATCCTACTTTTTTTGTCATAAAATATACACCATTAAGATGAATACCTTTGAAAGCTGGTGTAGCGTACCCTGGTATGAGAAGCTGAGTTAAGTTTCTGCTGTGGAATATGTGTTAGTCATTGTGTTGCAGCATAGTTTTTTGTTTTTCTCGACTGCTACCAACTTATCTACCGTTCAGTTCAAGGTCAGTTTTATTCCTTTCTTAAAAACTGGTTCGTAAGGTGGTGGTGGGCTAAACAGTGAAAGCTGAATATTGATTCCTATATTTATGTTCAAAGTGACAACGCAAGTCAGCTGTTGGAGACTTTGGGCGATATATATGGGTCAGAATCGGTGTTAGTGCTGTTGATGATGTATGTGTCTACACGTTGTCTTTATCCTAATCACCATACAGAATTCCTTCATTGTTTCATTACTTCTTGGTCTCTTTTGACAACTTTCTACCACTTTGACCACTATTATCTTCTTTATTTCTCTATCCTTCACCCTGGCGCCTCTTCTATCTTGATACGCTGTGCCCACTTGGAGGGTTACACAGTAATGCCTCAGCTTCTGCGTTAATGTTCAGAGTGAAGATACGAATTTTCAACAGTTGTATTCAGCTCTTAGTGAATTTTTGCTCGTATGTTTACCTAATAGTTTTCCTCCTTTATGTGCTTGGAGATGGTAATAACCTTTTTGTTTTTCATATTTTTAAAAGGGGTTTGATCTTGTTGCTAATCGGTACGTTGCTTGCAAGATTCATCAGCTCAATCCTGCCTGGCCTAAGGATAAAAAGGATAATTATATAAAGTAAGTCCCACGTACTTCGTGTATGTATATGTATGTGTATTTATGTGTTAACAGTTAGGAACTCGTATTCGGCACTCGTCTGGCGGGTGTACTTACCTCCCAATGAATTTAGTTTCTGCCATCTGGGCTCGAACCCGCCACTTATCACATCAAGCGTAAGAGCGTTATTCACTAAGGCACTGAGTTACAGCAACCATGCTGGACCTTAGTCCTTAATGAGTAATATTTTGTTGATTAGTGGGTTGTAAAAGTGTTTTTGCTTCCCCCAGCACCTTTTACTAATGCAGTTAAAATTAGTTTGTGATATATCCATGAAAACTAAATATTTCGATTGAATGTTGGTTATCCGGGTGGATAAACAGTCGAGATGAAAGTAATTCATCTTCAGAAGTAATGACAATGTGGTTTAGCTGCATACTACTGAAAGAAATCAAGAGATGACTTCTACAAACGATGACAATAGACTCATCAGCGTTTATTGTACTGATACTTTCGAGTTCAGCGTATTACTAGCTTTCACTCCTGAGGAGTTAAACTCTCAAAATACCTCACAAATTATTGTAGTGGGGTATAACGTGGTTTTCTTTAAATTGGGTCAGTTCGTTTATGTGATTTTCTCTCTATATGTTTTCCCCATACTCGATAGTTTACCGTTTTTGTTCAATGCAATGTTTGGGACTCATCACCCGAATCTACCTTCCTCTGAGTGAGTGACTCCTCCAAATGATACTCAAATCTAGTAAGGATTGCTTCAAATGCCAAAACCTTACCCAGTAGACCAGTGATAGCCACTCCTTACATGATAAATGTAGTTTTTATGTTATTGATTATTATTGGTCCCTTGATCTAATCAATAACTTGTATATTCTGAAGAATAGGTTGTGCTTAGAAATTGCTATAAATTCATTTTAAAGTAAGTTGAGTAGTGATTCATTCGTGTGTGCACTGGATCGGCCAAGTGGGTCATGGGTTCGAACCCCAATCTACCTATTGAGATCTACAAAGCCAGATAGCTGTCATATAAATAGATGTGGTTGGTTGTTTAGTCCATGAACTTGTATGCGATTGTCTAGTTACAAACAAACTTCTTAAATAAGAACGGAAAGAGTGTAGGTTTCTCTGATTTCAATCGATATCATTGCTTTCAGGTTGTTTTTCATCAAACTAGGGTTGTTCAAAAAGTTTATTTCCCAACGAAGCAGTAAGGAAAACAGTGTTAATCAATGTATATACATTGTGTTTTGTAAGAATTGTTGGCTTCTCAGGATTTGAACTCGTGTATCATGTTCATCACGTTCACATTTTAATAGTTGGATTTGGTTAACCTCACTTTTACGGTTTTAATGAAATAAGCTTTAAGACAACCATGTATACACTTTTCGTTTACTAGCTTTCCAATTTTTTTTATGTATTCGTTTGTTTGTTTTTTCTGTGAGAAGTATTCTTTACTAATTTCTACTTATTTCTATTTGAGTAGTATAACGTTTGTTGTTAATTTTAAAATTATTTTATTAATTTACAGACATGCATTAAGAGAAATTGAAATTCACAAGACATTAAATCATCCAAGAATAGTCAAGGTGTTCGATGTGTTTGATATTGATCATGATGCGTAAGTGCGTTTACAGTCTACTACTTATTTACAAAATGATTCCCTCTATATATTCGGTCATATATATATATATATATATATATATATATATATATATATATATATTGTAAAATTTGAATATAATTTCTTCAAATCTACTTCTTAGTGTAGTATAGTTGCCATCACTTATCACCTTTCATTTAATGTGTGGACTAAGGTTTTTATGGTCTAACAAAAACAAATACTCGAACTTGAAACACACTGAAAAAGTTTTGTTCACTGCACAGCAGTCCGCTCTGTCCTACTGTATGGCTGTGAAACATGGCCATTGAAAGTGGAAGATACAAAAAGCCTTCAGGTGTTTGACCACCGTTGCCTTCGTAGTATAGGACATATTCCGTGGTGTCACCATGTGAGTAACGCAACGCAGAAGTTAGGTGTAGAGTTTTGGGGAGAAGAGGTAAATCAGTTGACGAGGTTATGAACCTTCATCGATTGAGATGGTTGGGACATGTGCTACGTATGCCTTGTCACTGATTGCCTCATCACACAATGTTGGCTGAGGTGGGTCCAGGCTGGAAAAAGGCCCGAGGAGGCCAGACTAAAACATGGCACCAATGTATGAAGTCTGTGACTGTTGATTTGAGCCATGTGGGGTGGTTGGGGTCGGTGGGACAAGAGGAACCAGTGGTTGGAGACTGACCCTAGGTGATATGGCTGAGAACCGAAGTCAGTGTCGCAGATGTATATACACATTATCCTCATCTTAACGAGGCAATACCGAATCTCACCATTTTGTCACTCCTCTTTCCTTTCTTCTCGTACTTTATGTTTCTTTTGACTGCATTCACTTATCTTCATCCTTCGCCTCACTACCTTTTTACTTGATGTAGTGATATGAGGTGTGGCAACTCGGACCGTTACGCAGTAATGCCTGGTCCTATGTTGATAATGATGATGATGATGACTGTCGTACCATACCTATTTTGTGAGGACTAATCATCTATTATCCGGCTGTCCAAACTTCGGTAGATACAGCGCGGTATTTGAACCCACGACATATTGCCAAAATTAATGAGCTACAGTTGCAGTACCTCAAACCATGCAGGTAATCTAAGTACTTTTTCTCTTTATAGTATGTGTACACTATTATCATTTTGACTGAGATAGCCGTGGTTTGGCAGACTAATATTGATAATGGGTGATGATTGAAAGTGAAATGAAAATTTGGAACTTGTCTGAATTCGAACCACCGACTATTGGACCGGAAATCCAGTAGTCGCTGGTTCGAATCCGGCTGGGGTCCAAATTTTCATTTCACCTAGTATGCATACACTATTGTAGTTTGGGACAGCTAAAGTTTTTTAGGCGAAAATGGTCTCACATTTCAAACACTGGTAGTACTGAGTCAGCATAGACTCAATTTACTCCTTGACTACTCATAATCAGTTATGGGATTTTTTTTAGATGTTTTTATGAGTGTACTGATAAATGGGAACGTAGATGGTTGAGTATACCAAGATGTGCTTACGCGTTGTACTTCAGGAACTGATACTTCTGACTCCAGTCAGTCACTGACTCACATGTGATAATATTACTAATTATGGTACTGAGGTGTGTGTTTCTCATCTCATTACCGAGAGTCTAATCTTTACGCACACACGTAAAATTCAATACCTTTATAAGAGCCTTTAAGCACATAATATTAGGTTATTCAACAAAACGTATTGACTGATAAAGTATGTTTACTGTGGTTTGGAATAAGATAATTTGGATAAAATTACTAGACGTATAGAGTATAGTCTCATTGAACCGTACCCTTTGAAGATAAATTATATCAATGTACTGCAGATTTTCGACCAAATATATCTTCATTGCACTACTGGCATGTAGTAGAATCACTGTATGAGATAGTGTCCAGGTTAGACGAGAGGTACTTGGCGAGAAAGGCAAGTTATGTAATAAGTTTTGAAGCTTGAATATATGTTTTGTGTCTGTTGAGCCTATGCCTACTTCGATGTGCGATATATTGGCCGAAGTTGAACTGAATTGCCAAAAGGTTAAGGATGACCAGTCCAAGATATGAGACACCTGTTCATGAAGTATTGAAAATTGTTGATCTGATTCGTGTAGAAAGAGAGACGTACAGACTGTCTAGTTGGCGTCGCTAAGATCATAGGAATCAATAGTTGAAGACTTTGGGTTATGGATGAAGTAAGTCAGAATGAAAAAAAATGTATGCGTGAATTGTAGCAAGTTGAACGTATATGTTTTTTGTAGGGTTCTACGTCGATTTGTCTACTTTTTAATCCAACTGTAATATAGGGTTACAAGCTATAACCATCAGCTTATATCAATATTTCGCTGTAACAATATGTCACATATGAGTATGTTACTCGTACAAAAAGCCAAATTCAAAAGCATTATTATTATTTGTCCCTTAGGTTCCTAGTGGAACATAGGGCTTCAGTAGCACCTCGCCATTCCACTCTCTTCTCTGCAGTCTTTCCAACATAGCTTCACAACTGCCCACAAGCTCTCATTTCTTCCTCACACCATCTCCTCCATGTCATCCCACCTGCGCCGCCCAACTCGTCGTTTCCCCATTTAGCTTCCACTCGACGGCATCACCTGGCCTGGCACGTGATGTCCCCAGTCGGCCTTCTCAGTGTATGCCCAATCCATATCCACTTCCTTCCACTGCATATTTGTCCAGTGATAGATTCTTGCTTCGTTGGTTCGTTACCAGCCAACCAGAGTTCCTTGTTACTTATTCTCATTATTCTGGCCATCTGATCTTCAGTAACGAGTCAGCGTAGTCAGTTGTTGATGAATATCTGTAGTTTGTTGGAAATGCCTTTCGTGAGGCGCCAAGTCTCTCAACCATCACATAGAAGCACTGACTTGACTGACTTGGTGTTGAAAATCCCGATGTTGTTCACGCTTTATGCTGAGTGGAGTGCAGAAGATCTCCACACTGGATTCAGGCTTATGAATGCCTGTCTTGCTTTTCCGATCCTGGCTGGTTTTGACATCCTCATCTGTGTCTGTGCGGCCACCTGTAGTTGAAACGATGCTGCCTAGGTGGTAGGTGAAAGAGGTTACTTCCTTTAGGTTTCTCCCACTGATGGTGATTGGAGTTTGTTGTTGTTGGTGGTGGTGGTTGTGTTGGTTGGGTATCTTCATCACCTCTGTCCTATCTCTCGTATAAAATATTATAAGTCTATCCTGTGTGTAATCGCCATTTAACGCTGTTTTTACTATAATCTTCTGAAAATCCAAGTTTAATTGTTAATATATGAGTAAGGCTTTGTTTACTGAGATGTTATGATCCAACAATCCTAAAGTATTTTCAATGTTTAGTATTCTAAAGAAACACTCTTAAGTTAGCATTCCATACGCAAAAATATTCGTGTTTTTCACTCTATGTGATTGTTTCATCCTCTGTTTGGTTTATTTATTTTTCCTAAAGCTTCTGCACAGTACTTGAATATAGTGAAGGTAATGATTTAGATTTCTTTCTCAAACAAAACAAGAGTATCCCAGAACGTGAAGCTAAATCGATTATCTGTCAAGTGGTTTCTGCTTTGAAGTATTTAAATGAACGTAGACCTCCAGTGATTCACTATGATTTAAAACCAGGTATGTACATACATATGTAATCATTGTATTTATTATTTACATTCATATAGTTTCAATAGTTCACTTCTCTTAGTTGAATCTATCCGAGTAAGCTTACTGATGAACTCGGTACCAAACGGGCGTCCCGTGATGTGGTTAACTAGCAATCACTACTGATCAGTGTGAATGGTTTACAACTACGCATCCCAGTTAGTAGTTTATTCCAACTGATTCATATTATTTTTATACTGGGTAATGAGGGTGAAATGAAAATTTCGACCGCGACTGGACTCGAACCAACGACTACCTGGTTTCCGACCCGATGATTTTCCAACTGAGCTACGAGGTTCGACTACTGACCAGATTTTTATTTTACTTCAATCACCATGGATTTTACCGATTACCGTGTGATTTCGTGACTCATCACTACCGTTTGATCGTATTCACACTGGCTGTTTAATCATAACTTCTCATCCCAATTCAAATCTAACTGAATCAGAGAGGGGGACCATCGTATTGATTATCATTTGACTATCTGAAATAGCTGTAGTTTGGTAAACTTGCAGCATTTATACTGGGTGATAATTGAAGATGAAATGAAAATTTGGACCACTGCCGGATTCGAACCTCGAAGCTCAGTTGGTAGAGCATCGGGCCGGAAACCCGGTGTTCGCTGGTTCGAATCCGGCTGTGGTTCAAATTTTCATTTCTTCTTCTTCAATACTACAAGTCTGCCAAATCACGGTTATCTCAATCGTCAAAATGATAATCACATTATTTTCCTAATTTATATATGTGTTTGTGTGTGATTCCATAGTTTTCATTTTTAGAGATAAACCGTATTTAACTTCCTTTTGTTCCACTCCTTAGTTGATGTTTAATCAACTAAATTTTATAATTATCCAATAAGGCTACATGATGAAAAATTTTGAGCTGATAAACATTTCTTCGGGCATATGTTGATGCTGAGATGACTACTTTGACTACTCTGCATGATTTATCGATGTAGACGGAGAATAATCGTTTTTTTTTGGCACAGTTATTTTATTCGATTCATGCCTATAACTTCATTAGTTGATATTTACCTCAATTAAACAAAACTGTACATTTATTCAACTCATAACTAATTCGATGATTCTACAGTATAAACATCATACAATGAAGGTGACCTTCGATGGTACCATATAGAGTTAGTGATGTGCAGATTCACGTATATAGACTATCATTCCGACTGTTTTATAGCAGACAGACAAAACATCAGATTAGTTGTAGCTATAAGAAGTTATAAGTTATGAGCAGATAACTTCAATGGTACACCGGTAGTTATTTCATCAGGGTTATGAATAGGCAGTCAACCCTCTACCTCAACTTCATCGACTTTGAGAAGGCTTTTGACAGCGTCGACCGAGAAGTAATTTGGAAACTGCTTCAACACTACGGAATACCAGAAACCTTTATCAGCCTCATTCAACAACTATATGAAGACACCGTATGCCAAGTAATTCACAATGAGAAGCTCAGTGATGCTTTTGAAGTGAAGACAGGAGTGAAACAAGGCTGCCTACTATCACCCATGATATTCCTGATTGTGGTCAACTGGATCATGCAACAACCAGTGAGGAGCTAGAAGAGGGTCATACGCTGGACCACGGAAAAGAACCTAGAAGACTTGGATTTCGCCAACGATGACTTGTGTCTGATGTCACACAAACTTGAAGATCTACAGGCGAAAACTAACAAGTTGACAGAAGAGGTAGGGCAACGAAGACGGGAATTCAAGTGAATATGGGAAGACAGAGGTGATGAAGATACCCAACCAACAAACTCCAATCACCATCAGTGGGAGAAACCTAAAGGAAGTAACCTCTTTCACCTACCACCTAGGCAGCATCGTTTCAACTACAGGTGGCCGCACAGACACAGATGAGGATGTCAAAACCAGCCAGGATCGGAAAAGCAAGACAGGCATTCATAAGCCTGAATCCAGTGTGGAGATCTTCTGCACTCCACTCAGCATAAAGCGTGAACAACATCGGGATTTTCAACACCAAGTCAGTCAAGTCAGTGCTTCTATGTGATGGTTGAGAGACTTGGCGCCTCACGAAAGGCATTTCCAACAAACTACAGATATTCATCAACAACTGACTACGCTGACTCGTTACTGAAGATCAGATGGCCAGAATAATGAGAATAAGTAACAAGGAACTCTGGTTGGCTGGTAACGAACCAACGAAGCAAGAATCTATCACTGGACAAATATGCAGTGGAAGGAAGTGGATATGGATTGGGCATACACTGAGAAGGCCGACTGGGGACATCACGTGCCAGGCCAGGTGATGCCGTCGAGTGGAAGCTAAATGGGGAAACGACGAGTTGGGCGGCGCAGGTGGGGATGACATGGAGGAGATTGTGCGAGGAAGGAATACGAGCTTTTGTGCTGTCGTGGAACCAGGTTCCAAAAATATCAGAGAACAGAGTGGAGTGGAGACGTGTTCCGTTAGGTACCCAAGGGAGAAATAATAATAATAATAATAAAAATAATAGGTGGATACAAAAGAGATTTCTATTTATCTGTCAAGATTTTATAGACAACAAGAATATCAAGACTTGTTATATACCACAAGAAAATAGAGAGAATGTCTCTTTTCCTTTCTTACGTACACAATTTATTTCCGATTTCTCTCATGTGTCTAAGAGACATCAATATCCCTTCAATCTTTAATATTAAAAAATACCCTGAGAAATATAATGATATCTTATTGATTGACTTTTTTTTCCTCTTCTGTTTATACTCTCCATCTAATCAATCCAGGAAATATTCTTTTGGGTTCTGGTCAAGTTGCTGGTGAAATTAAAATCACTGATTTTGGTTTGAGCAAACTTATGACAGAAGATAAATATAATCCAGAGACTGGAATGGATTTAACCTCCCAAGGAGCTGGTACCTATTGGTACCTACCGCCTGAATGTTTTGAGACAGGACGTGAACCACCAAAAATTTCTTCTAAAGTGGATATATGGTCTGTCGGTGTAATATTTTTCCAATGTCTCTTTGGTAAAAAGGTTAGTTTATTTATTATATGAAGTGTTTTTCTTAGATGTTATTTAGTTAAACCTTCGTTTCTACTCCCTCTATGATTTTTCTCATGAAATATTATTGTTGTTTAGTGAAGTGATGTTGTACACTTCGATTGAGTAACTCCAGTATCAGGGATGTTTCTACACAAAACTATTCAGTCATGAATTAAGTTTATATGGAGTAACAATTAAATGCCATCTGTTAATGGGTTATATTGTGCAACTGTAGATGTAACTGGTTATTTGTATCGATCAGTTTCAACAGATAGACAAAATCAAGGTAGAATCTCGCACACTAGTATTATATTATTATTTGTCCCTTGAGCTCCCGGCAGAACATAGGGCTTCAGTAGCACATCTCCATTCCACTCTCTTCTCTACAGTCTTTTCAACCTGGCTCCACCACTGCCCACAAGCTCTCATTTCTTCCTCACACCATCTCCTTCATGTCACCCTCGCCTGCGACGCCCAACTTGCCGTTTACCCACTCAGCTTCCACTCGACGGCACCACCCGGCCTGGCACGTGATGTCCCCAGTCGGCCTTCTCAGTGTATGCCCAATCCATATCCACTTCCTTCAACTGCATATTCGTTGAGTGATAGGTTGTTGGTTGGTTCGTTGCCCAGACAGAATTCCTTCTTGCTTATTATTTCTGGTCATCTGATCTCCATCTTCAGTATCGAGCCAGCGTAGGCTGCTGTTAATGAATGTTTGTAGTTTGTTGGAAGTGCTTTTCGTGACTCGCCAACTTTCTGAACCATATAGAGGCAGTGACTTGACATTTATGTTGAAAATCCGGATCTTGTTCCTTTTGAGGAGTGTAGTAGATCTCCGCACTGATTTCAGATTGATGAAAGCCTGTCTTGCTGTCTTTCCGATCCTGGCTGGTTTTGACATCCTTGTCTGTGCCGCCATCGCCTGTAGTTGAAACGATGCTGCCTAGATAGTGAATCACCTCAAGTTGCTACACTTCACAGTACGACGGGTGGATAAAATAAAACTGATATTGAAGTAGATAAAGTTATGTAAGAGAAGATAACGGATAATGGATACATATGCTCCATTGTGACCGATTTTCATCCATGTCACCAACAGTCTTCAACCACTGATTCCTATCATCTCAGAGACTTCAGCTCGGTAGTCTACATTTTTTCACGTGACTCAGACCATCAGTCAGGGACTTCAACGACTGATTTCAGGGTCTTGGTCTGACAATTGGGAAGCTTCTTCCAGCCTAATCTAACTTCCTCTATTATGGCACGTCAAGAAAGGCGATGGCGTGGCAGGAGCAATACATGTCGAAACCATTTCAGTCAACTAAGGTTCACAACCTCATCAATCGACTTGCCTATCTTGTCTAGTACCATTCGCTGGACTTCAACATTGCTCACATGGTGATTCCACTGAAGGCAAACTATACCACGAAGGTATCTATGATCAAACGTCTGAAATTGCTTCATGTATTCTACTTTTAATGACCATGTCTCATAGCTAAGCTGTACAACAAAACAAAATGAATCACAGTGCAGTATACTTGTTCCATCCAGCAATTCAGAATGAACTCAACACATCTTTTTACTGGATTTCTAACTTTTCAAATCATTAGCTATAAAATCTTTTCAATTTAATCTTCTAGTGTAATGTTTAAAATTTTTTGTGAAATAATTATTACTTTCTTCTTTTTTTTCTTTCTCTAACAGCCATTTGGTCATAATATGTCTCAAGCTGATATTCTGCACGAAAATACAATCCTTCATGCACGATCTATTGTTTTCCCATCGACGACTAAAGTTAGCGATGGTGCAAAAGTAAGTTTATTCGTATATTCTATTGAACAATTTAACTTTGATTATTTTCGACTGATAAAAAGTTTTCCAATTTGGAAATGTAACTGATGTGTAATTGATAATAGTAATAATAATAATAATAATAATAATAGTAATAATAATATCTATTTGTTTGTGAAGGTATCCTGACCAATAATGGACTGGATGGTTTTAAAAAAAACTTGGGCACCGAGTTAGTATGATTCATTGTATAAGGTGTGGAATCATGCTCCTGTCCACCCCCAAGCCAGCAAAATATTAAGCTGCATCATTCTGAAGAGACTGATGGATGCACTGGATTCAAGATTGCGACCGGAATAGGCTAGCTTCAAGAAGAATAAATCGTGTGAGGATGAAATTGCAACCCTACGCTACGCATCATCATAGAACATAGCATAGAATGGCAGTCAACTCTCTACCTCAACTTCATCAACTTTTAGAAGGCTTTTGACAGCGTCGACCGAGAAGTAATTTAGCAGACAGTTGCTTCAACACTACGGTTCTAGTGCCTCAAACCTTTATCAGCCTCATTCAACAGCTATATGAAGACTCCACACGCCAATTGATTGACAATGAAAACCTCAGTGACACCTTTAAAGTGAAGACAGAAGTACGACAAGGCTTCCTACTATCACCGATGATCTTCCTGATTGTGGTCGACTGGACTAGACTGGATCATGCAGCAAACTGTGAAGAGCGAGAAGATGGGCATACACTGAACCGATGAAAAAATCCTAGAAGATATGGATGTTGCCGATGATTTATGTTTAATGTCACACAAACTCGAAGAATTATAGGCGAAAACTAACAAGTTGACAGAAGAGGCAGGGCAGCGAATACGGGACTTCAAGTGAATGTAGAGAAGACAGAGGTGAGGATGATACCCAACGAACAACAGCATGAACAACAAAGAGCAATCACCATTAACGGGAGAAACCTAACGGAAGTAGTCTCTTCTACCTAGACAGCTTCGTTTCAACTACAGGCTACGGCGGCACAGACAAGGATGTCAAAACCAGCCAGGATCGGAAAGACAGCAAGACTACACTCCGCACAAAGAACAAGATCCGGATTTTCAACATAAATGTCAAGTCACTGCCTCTATATGGTTCAGAAAGTTGGCGAGTCACGAAAAGCACTTCCAACAAACTACAAACATTCATTAACAGCAGCCTACGCTGGCTCGATACTGAAGATGGAGATCAGATGACCAGAAATAATAAGCAAGAAGGAATTCTGTCTGGGCAACGAACCAACCAACAACCTATCACTCAACGAATATGCAGTTGAAGGAAGTGGATATGGATTGGGCATACACTGAGAAGGCCGACTGGGGACATCACGTGCCAGGCCAGGTGATACCGTCGAGTGGAAGCTAAATGGGTAAACGACAAGTTGGGCGTCGCAGGCGAGGGTGACGTGAAGGAGATGGTGTGAGGAAGAAATGAGAGCTTGTGGGCAGTGGTGGAGCCAGGTTGAAAAGACTGTAGAGAAGAGAGTGGAATGGAGATGTGCTACTGAAGCCCTATGTTCCACTAGGAACTCAAGGGAGAGACAATATAATAATGATAAAAAAATTATTATTAATCTATGCACCTGATTCCTTAATTGATTGATATATGATCAGTTTTTGTTTATATAAGAGTATTTACGCAGCAATCTTGTGGAGATTTATGCAGTTGGCGATGAGCCACACCTCTTGTGCAATGAAGGACTATCGATGATTAGTACCTCGCTTCTGAAACCTCATTGAGTGAAATAGGGTTCCAACCTGTAAAACATTGATTGAAAGTCATGTCCCTAATCAAATGAACCAAAACTCTGCTTTGTTCTATCTAGGTTTATATCGTAAAATCACTCTTCAGTGGTGAAGTTTCCAAACAGCAACAACAGCAACACCGTAGAAGCATATACTTGTATAAATAGCCAGATGTAATCAAGACTTACTATTTCAATTATGTGTAATCTATAGATTTCACTTTGTTTCATCTTTCATTTAAATAGGAATTTATACGTAAATGTTGTACGTATAGAAAAGATCTTCGACCGGATGTCTTTCAACTTAGCAATGATGATTATCTTAAACCTAAAGCCCAATTGAAGTGAGTATTCTCTTTTTCATTTTATCTTATTGTTCGATAATCAATACTCAGTTTAGAGTTAAACATTTTATTTATTGATATCAGTTGGATACAGAGGATAGACAGGAAACCCCAGTTGACTTTGGTTTCGTGGTTTTTCGGCACTCGTCAGCAAAGAGGGGGGGGGCATCTGTAACCTCTATGGAACTGATGTGCCGTAACTCAGAGAATCGAACCTGTGACACCCAGTTCTCCAATCAGAGAGACGTAACCACTGAGCTTTTCGGTTGGCGATTGACATCCTACAGGACTGAATTAGGTACATTGGTCGGTCACTGGAGGGTAACCAAACTTCATGTGATCGAATTCTATAGACCGTTTTTTAAAATAATGATAAGCACTATACATCTCTGTTCTGAACGATATATCTATTATTATTCTTGTGTAATTAGGAAAATCTGATTGCTAATTTCATTCAGCAGTGAATATGTGTAACAATTTTGTCTAGTCTATTTGAATTGTATACTGGTGAAGTATTTTCTGTTCCCGATTGACTCATCCTCTTTATGTTTTTCACCGCACTCTACTATAAACTTTATGGTAGACTGTCATGTACGCATCAGTAGTAGTAAAACTAATTGATATTCTCTTTTACTTTGTAAATGTTGTCAGGAATTGCCTTTTGAAAGGAAACTGTAATTACGTTCTTATCAAAGTGATAAACTGTGATGTATTGCCATACCTTCAATCCCATTAAAAAGGGTTTATCTGCTTTGATAGTCATCATCATCATTATCATCATCAACATAGGACCAGGCATTACTGCGTAACGGTCCGAGTTGCCACACCTCATATCACTACATCAAGTTAAAAGGTAGTGAGGTGAAGGATGAAGATAAGAGAATGCAGTCAAAAGAAATATAAAGTACGAAAAGAAAGGAAAGAGGAGTGACAAAATGGTGAGATTCGGTATAGCGTTGTTAAGATGAGGATAATGTGTGTATACATCTGAGCCACTCACATCGGTCCTGAGCCATATCACCTAGGGTCAGTCTCCAACCACTGGTTCCTCTTATCCCGTGGACCCCAACCACCTAGTCTGCATCGCCCCACATGGCTTAAACCAATAGTCACAGACTTCATACATTGGTGCCATGTTTTAGTGTGGCCACCTCGGGCCTTTTTCCAGCCTGGACCCACCTCAGCCAACATTGTGTGACGAGGCAATCGGTGACTAGGCACATGTAGTACGTGTTTCAACCATCTCAATCGATGAAGGTTCACAACCTCGTCAACTGACTTACCTCTTCTCCCCAAAACTCTACACCTAACTTCTGCATTACTCACATGGTGACACCACGGAATACGGTGGCCTATACTACGAAGGCAACGGTGGTCAAATACCTGTAACCTTCTCATGTCTTCCACTTTCAATAACCATGTTCCACGGCCATATAGTAGAACAGAGCGGACTGCTGTGCAGTACAAGCGACCCTTAATAGACAAATGGATATCACGGCGGCGCCATAGGTGGCGCAAATTGGCAAAAGCCAATCGAGCCTTTTGTATCTGTGCAGAAATCTCATCGACGACTAACCCACCAGGGTTGATCCTACTTCCCAGGTAAATGAAATGGTCAACACACTCAACCACTTCACTCTCTATTGTTAACCGCGGTACCGCTGAAGAGCAGTCCTGGAGCAAAAATTTGCATTTGGGTGGTGAAAATCGCATCCCAAACATTCTCAAATTCTTACTCAAAGTGTTCAGAAGACTGGGCATCTTGTCAGCGTCTTCGCCTAACAGGACTATGTCATCTGCATATTCTAGATCTAAAGAAAATTCACTTGTGATTGGGTCAACGTCTGTGTAATTAGGAGATGAGAGGGAAACCTCCATAAGAATATCTATGAAAAAATTAAATAAGAATGGGGATAGTGGGCATCCTTGACGGACACCAGTTGATGAGTATAGCTCCTTGGACAACTCGCCATAGGCTCTAACATGCCCACAAGTGTTCGGCTTTGATATTAGTCCTTTGAAGCTTTAATCAGGATATAACAATTCAGTATAATATAATGTCTACACTCCCTCTAGTTGACTAAACCATCGCATAAAGTATTGATTGGTCACGGGAGTGCAACCAATTTCATGTTGTCTAGTCCTGAGTGCAGCCCGAACAGCTCAGTTATAAAGTCGCTGACTACAACAGTGTGACGCGAATTCGAATCTCAGGCGGGACATCAGTTCCGTCTAGGTTGCAGATACGCCTTGCTGACGAGTGCCAAAAAGCTCGAAACTTAGGTCAAGCAGGGCATCCTGCCGATTGCCTCCAACCAACTAATATCGCAGAAAGTATTTTCAGCTAACATTGTGATTGGAATAAGATAATGTGTATTTCCACGCTGATTCATATTCACTTAAATCATCCTCAACAACAACATAAAGAAATGTGAACAACAATATGTTATGTGGTTATAAATCAAAAACTTGTTATATTCAAATGACAGTCAGTAACTGTTTGTTTCAATGTTCTCAACATGAGAACAGCTTCCGTCATCGCCTTTTCTACACTTAGTTTGGTTGGCTTCAAGTACTTTATTTGTCATCGAACGATCACTTCAGTTAGGAGAGTACACCAGAAAATCTTACTCTTTCATGTACTGTGTCATTATTTAAATATGAGTACACAATACAATTTCTGATTAATTGATTTGTTAATTGACCTATTTTATTTCCATTTATCCAAGGCATTATCTTGATACATCTGCACTTCCCGGTCCCGTTCCACTCAGTATTGCAACACCTCCACCTTCGACTTGTGTTGGTCCTTCTGTCCCAACTATTAGTGGTGGTGGTGGTGGTGGTGGCGGCGGCGGCGGTGCATGCTTGATATCTGGATTTCCGATAAACAATTCTGTAAACAGTGTTGCCCAATCTCAGCCACAACATATCCTTCAGCAACATCAACAACAAGCTACATCATTCTCTGTATTACAGAATCATGGTGCTAGCCCATCTCTACAACCTTTGACTTTACCACCTCCAAGTTGAACATTTGTACCTAATCAGCTTTTATTTTACCTAATGAAGATGACTTGTTGCCATGCAAACAATTATTTCTTCCACTACTAGTCATTGTCATATTTACCATTGTGTAAAGAATGTACTGGTAGGTTGCTATTCATGTGTAAGCAGATTTAGATATATTTATGTATGTATGTACGTGTGTGTGTGCGCATGTGTGTATACTGACTTCTTATTACCATCAACTTTTCCCACCTAATTGTATAGATTTCCTAAAGGATTCTTTGTCTTTTGTATCATTGTTCCTCCCCCCCCAACCAAATTCTCATTTTTGCATAAATATAAACCTTAACATGATGATATATATATATATATTATACATAATACTTATTGACTAGTTGTACCAAGTTATCTCCGTTTTCTTTTTTTCGGAATGATTTTTAGTATATTCTCTGCAAAGTGAAATAGCATTTTCTTTGTCTTTCCCAATTTATCATTACAGTACACACACACACACACAGACGTGTGTGTGTGTGTATGTAAGCCTTCACACACTCTGTTCTGGATGCTTACGTGTTTTACAGTGTTATGTTTTCTATGTTAGTGTATGTATGTGTGTGTGTGTGTGTGTGTTGGAACAGTCTACAAGATCATGAAAATACAGTCATGTTACAACTGTGTATAGTTATTTTTCTTTTCTATTCAGAAGCTTATATTCATGTGTATACGTGTGTTTGCAAGGCACTAAGCGTCTTCACTTTTCTTTTAGAAATGTGGCATGAATTGTTTCTTCTTCCCTTGTTCTGAAAACAATCGTCCAGTATTCTCAGTGTTAATCTTTCTCCTCCGTGTCCCCCACCTCATCCACTGTCTTTGATCGCAGTGGAGTATTTTATTTTTATACACCCCCTTCTCCTTCATTCTCTTCTTCTAGAAGTATTTAAGCACTGACAGTTCATTCTCTTTATGGTGTTGAAGAGTTGAGGCATAGAAACTAACAGCGATTATATATGTTTCCATACTGTGTATTCATCTATGATTTGTTGCATTGAAATCTGTTATTTGTATGTATACTCAACATCATTGCAATTCGACAGTTACCAGACTGAGATATATACTGCCAACACCGTAAAGAGCCTAAACTGTCAGCGCTTAAATACTTCTAGAAGAAGAGAATGAAGGAGAAGGGGGTGTATAAAAATAAAATACTCCACTGCGATCAAAGACAGTGGATGAGGTGGGGGACACGGAGGAGAAAGATTAACACTGAGAATACTGGACGATTGTTTTCAGAACAAGGGAAGAAGAAACAATTCATGCCACATTTCTAAAAGAAAAGTGAAGACGCTTAGTGCCTTGCAAACACACGTATACACATGAATATAAGCTTCTGAATAGAAAAGAAAAATAACTATACACAGTTGTAACATGACTGTAGTTTCATGATCTTGTAGACTGTTCCAACACACACATACCCTGTAATGTTTCTTTGTTCTCTCCAATTTCGGTTATCTTTATTGTGATCACAAATCATGGATATCAGATTTCAGTGAATTTTCGATCTAAAATGATAAAACTGTGATTCATATAATTCAGTAGCACTTCTCTTAAGTCAACTATTTGCTTCTTATTAGTAATAATGAATAGTGACTAGCAGTGAAATCTAGGATGTATGTTTCATCAACTGAGAATCTACTTACCTTCCAGTGAGCAATGTTTATTTCCACTAAGACCCTAACTTGTGAGACTGATGTCTTCAAACATCAGAGCGCGTTATCCACTAGGTCATTGAGTCATGATAGCCATTTCTTGTGTGAGATAGGTATAGTTTTGTTATTATTGTTGTGATGTTGTTACTTCTTGTTTAACACATATAAGAGGAGTATACTGTTGAGTACACTCAAGTTATAGATATTAGAGTAAAACAGGTTTAATTGTCTTTCTTTAAATTGCTCTCTAATCGATAAAAGATACGAAACTGTATTTACAGAAAAATTTCAATTTATTCACTTAAAATTTATTCTCTACTTTTATTGTATATAATTTATCTGAGAATAATTGTTTCTGATAAACAATTAACAATTTTTTAGGAGATATTGGTATAAGAAACAACAAATAGGACTGTGTTATAGGTAATAGTAAATTGGATGTGACAATGTTGTGAATTGATAGTTGAAATAGCTAGTCAGTAAGCTTATTTTCAATAGACGACATATAGAAGGTAAATCAATTGATTAGGTTGTTAACTTATACAGCTCAGACATATACTGTGCATGCCGGTATACCACTTCTCTGTACGGATACAAAAGGCTCGATCGGCTTTTGCCAATTTGCGCCACCTATGGCGCCGCCGTGATATCCGTTTGTCTACTAAGCGTCGCTTGTACTGCACAGCAGTCCGCTCTGTTCTACTGTATGGCTGTGAAACATGGCCATTGAAAGTGGAGGATACAAAAAAGCTTCAGGTGTTTGACCATCGTTGCCTTTGTAGTATAGGACGTATTCCGTGGTGCCACCACGTGAGTAATGCAGAAGTTAGGTGTAGAGTTTTGGGGAGAAGAGGTGAATCAGTTGACACGGTTGTGAACCTTCATCAATTGAGATGGTTGGGACATGTACTACGTATGCCTTGTCACTGATTGCCTCGTCACACAATGTTGGCTGAGGTGGGTCCAGGCTGGAAAAAGGCCCGAGGTGGCCAATGTATGAAGTGTGTGACTGTTGGTTTGAGCCATGTAGGACGATGCAGACTAGGTGGTTGGGGTCGGAGGGACAAGAGGAACCAGTGGTTGGAGACTGACCCTAGGTGATATGGCTGAGAACCGATGCCAGTGGCGCAGATGTATACACACATTATCCTCATCTTAACAACGCTATACCGAATCTCACCATTTTGTCACTCCTCTTTCCTTTCTTCTCGTACTTTATGTTTCTTTTGACTGCATTCACTTATCTTCATCCTTCACCTCACTACCTTTTTACTTGATGTACTGATATGAGGTGTGGCAACTCTGATTGTTACGCAGTAATGCCTGGTCCTATGTTAATGAATGATAATGATGATGATGACCAACTACTGTGGTTCAGACAGCTAGGTAGTAGTATCACTAATTCTCTCTCGGGTTAGGTGATGTGGCTCATATCACCTGCTGTACTTACGTGCCCAAGGTTAGTGAGTGCATTATGCGATTCGGTGGTCGGTCATCACGCATAGAAGCACATGAACCTTCACCGATGCAAAGTAACAATCTTTGCGTTTTAAGCATAATTATTCAGTTGGATAGTATATTCACTTCCAAAGTGTATCATTCTATATATAGAGTTTCAACTGTTAACAAGTATTATCATTTTGGATCACAAAATACTTTGATCCTCTAATCTAAACTGTAAGTGTGAACCGATATGTGTTATAAGTTTGTGTTCACTTCCACTTCAGTGTCTTCATCGTGGTTTCAGCAATCAATATCCTTTTCAACTGAAGTAAATGCGAAGCAAATGATGAAATTGGTCATAGTTTCGAATAACTAATGATTTGTTATCTTAAAACCCTATCTTGCTTAGCGTATATATTCTTCTTTTATTAAACTGATAATTCATTCCAATGGGGGAGTGTTTGTTTATCGACAGAATCACTTTCGATATGATCATTGATATTCGGTGCATTTTTATACTCAATTACCGTAACCTACGACAGAGCTTGAATAGTAGATGATTTTGCTTGTCTTATCTTTCAAATCGATATTTTTCGCCTCTTCTATGTTTTTATAATTTCTGTTAGACAAATAAATCAACATAGAACTTTGGCATAAAAGTACATGCGTTTAAATCGGTATACTTCTTGGTTGTATATAACAAAGTGGTGGATAGGAAAAGATTAGTTTTCAAATCATTAAGTTTTATATTAGATAAGAGAAGAAATAAGTAAAGGTTAATGAATATTTTCGTAGACGATTATCAGTACACATCTGTGTCATTATGATGAATTTTCAGTTGAGCCATCAGCAATCTCTAGCTGTTGGGTGTGTTATCGTCTTGATCACAGCAAGGTGGTGTATATCTCCCTTCACACAACTCACAGGCTCCTTCTATTGGAGAACTATTTTAATTTGATTGACTTAGGCTTTTTTCACCCTGATCCCACGTCAACTTGAATCACCGATCAAAGTGGGTAGTGGCTCACCATGCACATTTCACCTTTAAGCCAAAGTTGAGAAGAAATTTTTGATCAAACATCTGTAGATTTCTCATTTTTTCATCCTTACATCAGCCTTACGATAGGACAGAGGATTGTTACACGCTGTATTGATCCTGTGGCGTTCAGCGGAATGTTTCATCGATGTTAAACTTGGCGCAAACTGTTCAACCCCCTAGACATCTGAAGTTTTGACGGTTATTAACAGGTGGTAACTAGGGCTACGTAATACATGTCCCAGTCAATGAAGGTCCACAACAGCATGAACCAACTTTCCTCTCCTCCTTAGTACTATAGGTCTTACTTCTGCATTACTGACGTAGTGATATCACGATACAGCCTGTGCTACTAAGTCAATAGTTTTCAAACACCTGAAGCCCTTCTGTCTTCTACCTTTGATATCCATGTTTCACAGCCATACAGTAGAGCAGAGCAAACTGCAGCGCACTACACTTGGTCCTTAATTAGGAATCAGATAGCACAGTGGCGCTATAGATGATATAATTTGGTGGGAATTAATCCGGCCTTTTGTATCCGTGCAGAGATTTCATCAATCACCGACTCACCCCAGCTGATCCGACTTCGTCGATATGCGTAAACTCTAACCCATTCAAATGATTCACTCTCTGCTGTTAGACATTGAACCACTAAAGACCATTCCTCAAGCAACAGTTTACATTTGGGTAGCTGGAAATGCGTCTCAAACATTCTAAAGTTGGAACTCAAGGCATCAAGAAGACTGCATCTTGTCAGGGTCTCCATCTAACAGGACTATGTCATCTGCGTATTCTATATCTACTAAGGATTCTCCTGTGATTAGAACAGTCCTTGCGATATCAGATGATGAGATAGAAATCTTTATAAGAAAGTGCTAGACAAAACTTAAGGGGAACAGAGAGAGTGGGCTTTGTTGGTAGACATTATTCTATGTACCCCGCTGACCATAACTTCTCACACGCCCATGGGTGTTCGAGTACAGAGCCTTTAACAGAGTTATGTGTCTAATCGGTACCCCATAAGACCTCTCGATCTATGCTATCGAGAAAAACAGTGTCGCGTGTCGGCAAGTGTTTCTGTATTCCATAACCTGTGTGCGTGTGTATGAATACTCGGTCAAAGTACCACCCACGGAGGGGTCCGAACCCTCCCTGCTTTTCTCGGGTTTGATGTTCTCGGGCTCCACTTCGAAGTCTGATCGTTATAGAACTTAGAATCTTAGATTCTATGTTTACCAAGCTGGTTCCTCTATAGTTATCACAAAAGGTTTTCTCGCCCTTTTTGAAGACTGGGACAATCAATGATTGAGACCAGTCAGAGGGATCATATTTGACTGTCACACACTAGTTAACAATTCACTTAACTAAAAACAATCTATCACCGTCTTTATATACCTCGGGGATGAGTCCGTCTGGACCTGCTGCGCTTCTTCGTTTCAAGTCACCTACCACTTTCTTGACTTCTGCAAAGGTGAGGGAGCCTATCTCAATGCTCCATTCAGGATCCGACTGGACAGCGAGCAACGAAATAGT